ACGACACGCGTCTCCAGGCTGCCCGTCGGCGTGAGCGTGAGGAGCAGGAGCGGTTGGAGAGGGAGCGGCAGGAGCTGCGGGTGCTGGACCTTCTGGAGCAGCAGCGGCAGCAGCAGCAGCCGCAGCCGCAGCCGCAGCAGCAGCAGCCGCATCCGCCGCCGCAGCAGCAGCAGCCGCAGCCGCCACCGCAGCTTCCTCTGGAGCGGCGGTTGTTCCCACCTGTGAGTGGCCTGCGGGCCCTTGGCCTTTCCTCCTCTCCTCTTGTCCGCTCCCAGTCTCCTCCTGTGTTGGTCCCTCCGTTGCCTCCTCCTGACGACCGTCCGGCGGTCTGGTCTTCTCCTCCTCTTCAATCTCCTCCTCCTTCTGTCCGTCACGACTTGATCACTCGTTGTCCTCCACGTGCTCGTCACTCGTCCCCTGTCGTTCCCCTGTGTCCATTCTCCCGTCTCCTCCTCCGTCCTCTCTCCCAGCCCTCCCCACTCCTATCTCTGACTACTACCGCGCTGTTCCTCCTGTTGCCGCACGTGTCCTCGCCACTCTTGTCACCGACTCTCGTTTCCCTCCGTCGTCTTTCTCGGCTCTTACTGCCGCTGTCGCTGAGTTTGCTGCCGCCAGCCGCCTTGACTACGCCACCCGTGTGGTGCCAGCTCCTCCCTACCGTCCTCTGTCCGTCGGGGGTGGGTTTGCCCTTGGCTGTGACGTCCTAGAGGACAGAGAGTCTGAGCTGGAGTACTGGGCAGCCGCTTCTCCCTCTGTGTGTGACATGTTGCTCTCCCCTGAGGGAGACCCCGACGCCCTTGACATATCGACTCCTCGCACTTACCGCGAGGCAGTGTCAGGGGCGTGGGCCTCTCAGTAGAAAGCGGCTATGGACTCAGAGTTGGCGTCTTGGAGATCCACAGGCACCTACGTCGACGCAGTTCCCCCTCCCAGGGCGAACGTAGTCGATGGCATGTGGCTCTTCAAGGTGAAGCGGCCGCCTGGAGAACCGCCGGTGTTCAAGGCGCGCTACGTGGCTAGGGGCTTCAGTCAGCGTGAGGGAGTTGACTTCTTCCAGACCTTCGCCCCGACCCCGAAGATGACTACTCTTCGGGTGTTACTCCACATAGCAGCGCAGCGAGACTACGAGCTGCACTCCCTCGACTTCTCCACTGCGTTCCTCCAGGGCCGACTGCACGAGGAGATCTGGCTGCGCCGTCCTCCTGGCTTCACTGACACCTTCCCACCTGGGACCCAGTGGAGCCTGAGGCGACCAGTCTACGGTCTCCGCCAGTCGCCCCGTGAGTGGCACGACACTCTTCGCTCCACGCTTCGTGACCTTGGGTTCAGCCCGTCCTCCGCCGACCCGTCGCTGTTTGTTCGAGCGGGTTCTACTCCTTTCTTTATCCTTGTCTACGTCGACGACTTGGTGTTTGCTACAGCAGACAGGGCAGCCCTGGCTCAGGTGAAGTCCGAACTGCAGAAGAGACACAAGTGCACTGACCTGGGTGAGCTGCAGCGTTACCTTGGCTTGCAGATCACCCGGGACAGAGCCGCTCGCACCATCACACTGACGCAATCACACATGGTGCAGCAGGTCCTTCGGCGGTTCGACTTCCAGTTCTCCACCACTCAGCCCACTCCTCTTGCTGTTGACCACAGACTCACGTGCCCCTTTCCTGACGAGCCCTTTGAGTCCAGTGGACCCTACGCAGAGCTGGTGGGCTGCCTCATGTACCTGATGACTTGTACTCGACCGGACCTCGCCTTTCCCCTCAGCATCCTTTCTCGCTTTGTTGCGACTGGGAGACACCGCCCTGTCCACTGGATAGCTGCTGTGAGGGTGGCGAAGTACTTGGCGACTACATCAGGCATGGGGCTTGTGCTTGGAGGGACTCAGCCAGTGGCGTTGACTGGTCACTGTGACTCTTCCTACGCTGACGACGTGGAGACTCAGCGCTCGACTCAGGGCCACTGCTTCAGTCTGGGAGCTGGTGCTGTGTCGTGGAGGTCTACACGGTCGTCGTCTGTGGCTACTTCCAGTGCAGAGGCAGAGATCTACGCGGGTGCCATGGCGGCACAGGAGCTTCGCTGGTTGACCTTCTTGCTCGCCGACCTTGGTGAGCGGCCTCGCTCTGCACCGACCTTGTACGCTGACAACAAGGCCATGATCCTCCTGTGTCGAGAGCCTCGACTGGAGAGCAGAGTGAAGCATATTGACGTGAGGTACTTCCTCCTGCGAGAGCTGCAGCAACGCGGTCAGGCACGTCTGGACTTTGTGGCCTCAGAGGCCAACACTGCAGACGTCTTCACCAAGGCCTTGGCGCTTGGTGACCACCACAGGTTCTGTGTGCAGTTGGGGCTTGTTGAGGTAGGCCCTCGGTTGCTGTAGTCCTGTTGCTTGCTCTGCTTGTTGTGCTTTGTATTTATATCCTAGTGAACTCTTGAACTGGCCGTCCTTGAGATCCACCCTGAGCTTGCCTTGGTTCTTGCTTTGACTGGTCTTGTGACCGTTTGTTCACCTTGCTTGCTTTGATGCCCCTCACTTAGCCTATGGGGGTGTGTCAAATGTTGAACATTGATATGATAGGCTGTAGTGAGTTGCACTCTAGGGGGTACAGCTTCTAGGGTTGCTTATTTGTACCCCATTCGTTTCTATTCCAATCATTCCGTTGCGTTCACTGTTTGAGACCGTTGTCGATTGTGACCACGCGCAGGACTGCCAACACATTCTTGAATCTCGCCACTTGTCAACACGCCCACCGCCATCACAGCAGAATTGCATGTCAAGGACAGCTTCAAGCTGTCCTTAACAACAACTTGCAGGCCCAGTCCTGCCTTGCTGGCCATACACTTCCTGCCCCGTGGAAGAAACGGCCCTTTCGAGGCTGCCAGAGGGTCGTTCTCTACGAGGGGGTCTCTCGCTTGGCCCTCATTCTCAACCTTTCTCAACTATGTTGTGCATGTGTTGCTTGTGTAAACTCCATGGACTCTGAATGTGCTACTTGTTTATGTCAATAAAAATAACTTAACTCTCAAAACAGGAACAGAAACAGGCTTAGCCTAAAACTACCCTGCTCAAATCAGGCTAGTGGTTGATTTACCCTGCTGAAAACAGGGTATGAAAATTTTTACCCTAGGGGTCTAGTTCAGGAGGGGCTGGAACCCTGATTTGTAAGGGTAGGCCTAAACCAATTTTGGGCCCTGCTTGGTCGCCAGCAGGCCCCAAAATGTCAGGGTAAAATACCCTGATTGCCCTGACTGGCGGCTCCTTTTTTTGGGGTTACCCTGACCCAGTCAGCCTCCGGGATTTCTCCCCTGACTCATAAAGAGTTTGTTTTTTTGTACCCTTATGAAATCCGAGTTACAGATTGTTTCCCCTGACTTTCATCAGTGTTTTGAACCTGTTACACCGATACCGAGTCTTTCGTAGCGAGGATACGGTGGATGATGCGCAAAACGGCGCCAGCGAGTATTGCACTACGTTCATTTCCCGATATGAGTATCGAACCCGCAACCTTCATAATCGTAGTATCACCTCTAAACCAGTGAGGCATTCAAGCTTGTAATGAGCCAGTTCGTTGCTTCCTATACTATTACTTACGTAATCAGCTTACCGTCATGCCCCGGATATACCCCCAGGTGGGGGTATAAAAAAACCTGGAAAAATGGTGGGTGGGCTTATAATGTGGTTTTTTATATAACTCCATGGGGGAAATAAATGTCACTTAGAGAAATATGATTTTAAAACATAGAATTGTAGATCTCAGCCTTGCGGTTTCAATCGAGACTACCACAAAACAGTTTGCTTCGAAATTCACCTAGAATCTGCCACCCTGGCAAAAATCCCTGCCATCATGTGCTAAAATGTTGCTAACACGTGCGCGCCTGTGGCAGTTTCGCAAGGCGGGCCACATAAGACTTCGCCAGGCACGTCAGCGACGATTGCTCCTGACGCGTTAGTGGCGGATTCACTAGAAAAAACACAGATTTGAGTAAAATTTCATAGGGTGCGCTTATACGAAGATGATCCAAATTTAGGGTGGGGTTATAATCGGCACCCGGCTATAAGCCCACTGGTACGATTATAAGCCCATGGGTGTAACATAGGCCTGGGGGTATATCCGGGGTATGACGGTAAGTTTTTTTTTTTACCCTGTTTCCATCAGGGTACGAGATTTTTTTCCCTAGGAGTCAGGGTTGGCCCACCCTGGAACTCTGATTTGACAGGGTGGGCCAAAACCAATTTTGGGCCCTGGTCGCCAGGTCGCAAAAATTCGCAATACATTCACTCTTTGTGACGCGCGGAAATGCACACATTTGGGCGCGACTCGAGAAACAGGAGATTGTGACACCAAAATTCCAGACATGTCTTTGCAGGATGTGCCCTCAATGTCAAAAAAATTGCAACACTTTCTTCATTCTGCATTCAGTGTGCCATGCCATCATTCAGTAACATCATTTACTGCTAGTCATTCTAGGCCTTGAATTGGGAACTCCAATCTTTATTGCAATTGGAAAGCAAACAGTTATGGTACTAATGATTCTAGTACAAGACATTTCTAGCTAGCCATGTACCCCGTGGGGTACATTTCCTTATTGAGATGTAACCAACGATTGTAACCGGCCCTATAGGAAACAAACAGAAGCAAACGACATGACACACACCATGACCAGCCAAAACACCCAGAAAAACAACAAAGGAAGCCCGTGGCTGACGCCTTGTGCCCTGGTGCATGGAGATCTTTCCCCCTTGTAAGGACACACAAGGGTCAAACCTCTTCTATCTATCCTCCCTTCTAGAGGCACTCAAGCAGGGATTGTCCTGATGCACGCAAATCATGCCTTCATTCTCTTTGGCCATTGTGTGATACTTTGCAAGAAAAACATCTTGAAAATTAGCTGATGGGATGACGAGGCTGGCTGATGAGGGTGAGGCTTCACAGGAATGATGCAGGTGCGCCGTCACGAGAGCGATGAGGGTGTTCCATCAGTAGAGTAGACAATCCTCTCCTCACGGGCTATGCTGAGGGCACCTTGCCTGATGAGGGGGGAAACGAACAAGGGGATGAATATGCAAGGGACAAGCTGAAGTGGGTGGAAATCAACTGGGGAAGAAGCTCTTGGAAAAAAGAGGAAGAGGAAGACGGAAGAAAGAAAGAGGATGACGGAAGTATTGGATAAGCGACGGGGGACGGGGATGAAGTGGGGAGTGTGATAGAGTAGGAGAGAGACGTGGGGAGGGGGGTGAGGGGGTGGGGGAAGAGGGGGAGGGAAGAGGGGGGGGGGGGGGGGGGGGGGGTTGGATGGAAGGAAGAGGAGGGATATTGTAAGACACACGCAGGAGGAATTAGTAGGTTCTTACCAACGCAGCTCTTGGTGGTGAGCGGGACCCCCTTGTTGCAAATGCAGAAGGGAATCCCGTCCAGCCTCCTCACGCACGTGGAGAGGCTCGTGTCACAGCTCTTGAAGGGGCACCAATCTGGAGGGGGGGGTATTACGAGAGAAACAGTTTGGGGTTGAAAAAGCAATTTAAAGTTGGAGGAAAAAGCAGTACTCCTCCACAAGAACAGCAGGCTGCCACATATCAACAGCAGGACTGGGAGGTGCGAAGAGGTGTAAGGGAAATAGAAAGGGCGAGCTAAGCGAAGGAGAGAAGATAGGCAAACGAGTGAAGCAGCTGCTGCAGGGCACGTACCCTGGCAAAAGCCGCCAACTGCCCTGTGGTAGTAATCATCGCACTTGCAGAATGCCACGCCAGTGGTGACGTTTTTGGCGCAGTGCTCCTTGGGACCACTGCAGCTCAGGATCTCGCAGTTATCTGAGGTTTGGAGGGAAGGGTTGAGGAAAGGGCCCGAAAGAAAGGTTAGAGGTTGGTTGAGGGTTATATATATAAAGAAAAAAGTCGCCCTAAAGAATAGGCCAGTAGGAAACACCATGCTGAGCGCCTACCTTTGCACGTGGTGCCATCAGCCTGCAGCGTGAAGCCCAGATCGCAAACACAGGATGCCTCTCCTGTGGTGCTGTCCTTGCGGCACTTGCCGTTTACGCCACACCCCTTCAGCTCGCATGTGTCTGGAAGGGCAGGGTTGAAGGAAAAGTGGAAGCAGGGGTGGGGCAAAGGTGGCTTCCGATAACGGGGAAATGGCGTGGGCATACAAACACACACAAACACACAAGAAATGCGAAAGCACAAATGCGCAGAGAAACACACATACGCCGAGGAAGCGAGAGCAAAAGAAGCAGTAAACGCAAACGGCCTATTATGTACTACCAGCCCCTGAGCCGGCAGGGAAAGGGGCAAGGGGAGGGGTGGTGGCAGGAAGGGCAAGCATACCAATGCATTTGCCCTCAAACAGCTTGAACCCAGTCTTGCAGACACAGGTTGCATCGATGCCATTCTTGACACACGTGGAATTGGCATCACTGCCTTCACAGTCCTTGATGATGCACACATCTGCACGGAGGGTGAAACAGAGATGAACAAGACGATACAGTTCGGGAAATAGGAGATGACTGCAGCACATAACAGCGTTGGAAACACAGTGGCACCTACCTACCATTGTCAGCATCGACAAACGAGGGCCATTACCTTTGCACGTCCTGTCGTCCTCTAACAGTACAAAGCCAGCCTCGGCATCGCAATGGCAGGATGCCGCTCCAGTGATGCTGTTCTGGCGGCACAAGCCATTCACACACGCCTTCACCTCGCACGTGTCTGGGAGGGCAGGGGCGGGGGGGACGTGGAAGGAGGGGTAAAGAGGAGTAAGCGAAAGGTAGTTTGAGAGGAGAAAAGAGTGGACGAGTCAATGAAAAGCAGACTCACATACGCACCCACAGAGAGACACACACCCAGGGCAGGGCACAGAGAAAGTGAGTCGGGGAAGCGTACCAGTGCATACGCCCTGGAACAGCTCGTAGTTGATCACGCATTCACAGTGAGCCACGTCCCGATTCCTCACACATGTGGACTTGGCGTCCTTGCCCTCACAGTCCGCGACGAGGCACACGTCTGAAAGGCGGGCGGGAGAGAAGAGGGAGAGAGACAAGACGGCAATGTTAGGAACCAGCCACACAGTCGTACAGCAGTTGCAATCGGCACAACACACATGAGATTGAGCCCACAGCAGCACACCACGGTGTTTAAACACAGAGGGGCCTAGCCCACTCAGCAGCAACAAATGGCAGCCCATACCTTTGCACGTGCGCGTGTCATCCAGCAGAACAAGGCCAGCGTCGGCGTCACAATGGCAGGATGCCGCTCCGTTGACGTCCTGGCTGCACGTGCCATCCACACACGCCTTCACCTCACACGTGTCTGTGAGGGCAGGCGCGAGGGGGAAGTGGAAGGAGGGGTGATTCAGCAAAAGGTTGATTGGGAAAGAAGAGAAATGTGACAAAAACGAACATATGCATGCATAGAGAGACAGACCCAGTCACCCAGGCATACCAGTGCATTTGCCCTCAAACATCTCGAATCCAGTCTTGCAGACACAGGTGGCAACGATGCCATCTCTCACACACGTGGAATTGGCATCACTGCCCTCACAGTCCTTGATGACGCACACATCTGCACGGAGGGTGAACCAGAAACGGAAAGATGACAAAGTTTGGAAGGTAGGAGATGACTGCACCACAACAGCACATAACAGAGTTGAAAACACAGTGGCACCTACCATTGCCAGCATCAACAAATGCCAGCCCATACCTTTGCACGTCCTCTCATCAGCCAGCAGTACGAGGCCAGCGTCGGCGTCACAATGGCAGGATGCCACTCCGTCGGCGTCCTTGGTGCACGTGCCATCACACGCCTTCACCTCACACGTGTCTGGGAGGGCAGGGGCGGAGGGGGGGTGGAAGGAGGGGTGGAGGGGATTAAGCAAAAGGCCAATTCAGAGTGGACAAAGCAACAAAAAGCAGAGACACAGACGCACGCACAGAGAGGCAGACCCAGGCACACAGAAAGTTAGAGCAGGGAGCATACCAGTGCATTTGCCGTCAAACAGCTCGAATCCAGTCTTGCAGACACAGGTGGCAACGGTACCGTTCTTGACACACGTGGAATTGGCGTCACTGCCTTCACAGTCCTTGATGATGCACACATCTGCACGGAGGGTGAACCAGAGATGAACAAGAAAGATGAGAAAGTTAGGAAAGTAGGACACAGTGGCACGGACCATGATAGTCAGCATCGACAACAAACGCCGGCCCTTACCTTTGCACGTCCTGCCGTCCTCCAGCAGTACCAAGCCAGCGTCGGCGTCACAATGGCAGGATGCCGCTCCGTCGGCGTAATGGGTGCACGCGCCATCACACGCCTTCACCACACACGTGTCTGGGAGGGCAGGGGCGGAGGGGATGTGGAAGGAGGGTTGGAGCGGAGTCAGCAAAATGCAGTTTGAGAATGCAGAGAAACGTGGACAAAACGAAAAGGAGACACACAGATGCACGCAGAGAGACAGAGCGAGGCGCACACGGAGTGAGTCGGGGAAGCATACCAGTGCAAATGCCCTGGAAGAGCTGGAAGGTGGTCTTGCATTCACAGTGGGCCTCGTCCAGATTCCTCACACACTCGGAATTGGCGTCTTTGCCCCCACAGTCCTCGATGACGCACACGTCTGAAAGGCGGGCGGGAGAGACGAGGGGAAGAGCCGAGATGGCAAAGTTAGAATCTACAGTTCAGCACATACAGAAGTTGCAATTACAGAGTTTAAGCCAACAGCAGCAGAACCTACCGCAGCAGCGCACAGCATATTGAATTGAGCACGTACCCTTGCACGTCCTGCCGTCAAGCTGCAGCTTGAGCCCAGCCTCGGCGTCACAGGAACAGGCGGCCGCCCCAGTCACGCTGTCCTTGCTGCACGTGCCGTCCACACAGGCCTTCAGCGTGCACGTGTCTGCCCAGGGAGGGCAGAGAGGGAGGGGGGGGAGGGAGGTGGGTGAGACGAGAGCAGGGAGAAACGGAAGAGAGATACAGAAGGAGCAGGCAGCAGAAGGAAGCGGAGCGGGTGAGAGTTGAAGATGCTTGAATCAGACAGGCAGATGCGAAGTGCAGCGGAGGCACAGAGCAGCACTGAAGCAGGCAGATGCTGAGCGCAGCGGAGCGGAGCAGCACTGACCGACGCAGCCTTGGTCGGACGTCATGGCGAAGCCCCAGTTGCAGACGCACGTGGCCAGCTGGCCCACCTCCTTCACGCACGAGGCATGGGCGTCGCACACCATCACACTGCACGGGTCTGCAAGGGCATGGGGCAGGGGCAAAGGTGGGGGGGAGAGAAGGACAATGAGATTCAGCCACCAAGAAAGAACACAAACGCTCCAGCTAAGGGAGGGGGCACGCTTCCAGAATGCTCAAAGTCTTGAAATAACAAAAGGAGGGGGCTTCAACCCGAAGCAAAGGGGTGATGTGTCGTACGTGCGCATGAGTTGTCGGGCTGCAGCACGTATTCGGGATTGATGCACACGCAGATTGCCTCGCCCGTCTCGTTCTTCTTGCACACCGCGTCGACGCCACATTTGTTCTTGCACTTGTCTGGAGCAGGCAGGCAACACGTGGAGGACACACGCAGACACACGGAGAACACACGTGGCCACGTGAGGAGAACATGTGCAGGCATGTAAGACGCACAAAAAACACGAAACGAGGAGCCACATCTTGGGCTCAAGAGATGTTGGTGACATGTACGGCGTGTAGTAGAAGGTAGGGAATACAGGAATTCAGGATGCAGGAATTCACAGATCAGGCAGAGAGATTTCAGAAGGTAGGGAATACAGGAATTTAGGATGCAGCCATGTGTAGGAATTCAGAGAGAGGGGTGGAGCACACACACCAGCGCAGTTGCCGTCTATCCTTTCCTGCCCCCACGGGCAGGGCGGCGGATTGATGTCGCGGACGGCCTCCGCCATGGGCGCACACGCTGGCGCGCAGGGGGAGTGGGGGGAAAGGGGGGAGAGGGGGAGGAGAGGAATAAGGAGAGAAGGCGGAAGAGCAAGGATGGCAGCCGTTTCAAAGTTAACTGAGAGTGCATGAGAGCATACCGAGGATGTGAGCCACGAGCGCAGGGAGCACGAGCTCACGAGAACCCAAGATGCATACCTGAGAGCAGGAGAGCAAACAGTGCCGCGAGCACGAGTCCACGGGAGCCCATGATGCTGCTGATGACGAGTCTGGTGAGTCTGGTGCCGCAATTGGCGCTGACGAAACTGATGACGAGCAGTCTCGACGCTGGAGCCTGATGAATGGCTGAGGAGCACGCGTCTGATGATGTCAGTGATAGGTAGCTAGTAAGCGGATAGCTAAGCAGGAACCGGAAAGGGGTGAATCGCGAGCAGCGAAAGGCGATAATATGTGCATTGAGCGCCAAGCGCGGGCTTATATACTATGAGAACTCTCGCCTCCCTCCCCCTTTCTCCCCCCACCCCTCCCCTCCCCTTCCCCTTCCCGCTCTCATGGGGACCTTTTCCCCAGAGAGATCTCCCCCCTCGCTCAAGCAGCGCCAGGACCATCGGGGAAAGTCAAGCCCTTGACCTAGCGACTGGGTGTCCAGCGTAGCGGGGGAGAGCTTATCCCTATCATCCCGGGGGAGAGGTTATCCTTATCCTCGGCGGGGAGAGCCTATCTTCCGGGGGGGGGTCGCGCATCGACCCGTTGCCAGGGGGGAAAAGCGTGGAGCGGGAGGGTGGGAAGAGGGAAATTGACCTTTGACCGCGCATCGGCGGTTCTTGGGGTCGAAAGCGAGCGTTATGTCATGCGCGGGAATGAACGTGAGCCTCTATGCGCCGCGCGGAAAAGTACCTCTCCGCGGAGACGGCGTCACCGGGCCAGCGAGGCATAATTCTGATTCTGTGTGAAATATCGAGAAGGGCTTGCGACGCGTGTAAGCCAGCGCGGCAACCCTCTGGCAAACTGTATGAATTTGGAAGACACTATGGCGACGCGAATGAGCCAACGAGGCATAATTTGCTTCGAAATAGAGAGCCTGTTTTGCCAGCGATTCACGGCAAGGCAGGGTGGATCCACTAGCGACACATCCCCACACTCTCTCGCCTTGTTGGTAGCTTGACAGCGATGCGGGTTTATGCGGAGTAGGATAATGGGTCAATGCAAGTCTCTCGCTTTTCACGTGCCGCCGAGGGATCTAATTCGGTAAAATACCCGGCTGAAAGAGCCACTTGCGAGGTCTGGTTCTGTCTAGATGGAGAGAGACAAAAAGGCGGGAATTGGCGGCGATAGTGACAAATGCACTTTCCCTCGCGAGGCGCGGACTTCGTCGTGCGGAGCGGAGTCTTGGGGAAGCATTTCGTGTGAAAATGCCTCTGATAGACGTGCGGCGTGGAATGCAGGGTCGTGGGCATTGGCAAATTCTGTGTCACGCTGCTGGGAGGAGGGGAGCGCTGTCCAGTTCACTCTCTGTTGCGATACGTGCGCCAGGTAGGAAAACGTGCAGGGAAGAGCTTGCGTGCTGCGCTGGGATGGGATGGGAAGAAGGGCCAAGACTGGCGTCCATCCAGGAGAGAACTCAGCTTTCAGATGGCTCTCCTGTCTTTTCCTGCGAGGGACTTGGCAATGCACCGCCGCATTCTGCTTGCCGCTCTGCTGACGAGGCGGAGAGTCAGACAAATAAAGGGCACATTCTTGCCTCGTGTCTGACATCAGGTCATCCGCCCTTGGAGGCTCGGAAGACCCGAAGTGGCTCGAAATAGGGGCAAATCAACTTGGGAAGAGGCGAATCAGAGACTAAGGGCGGATGACCTGATGTCAGACACGAGGCAAGAATGTACCCAAAGTCAGGCAACCATGGTACTGAGAAGAATGAACAGTTTTTTACAGACTAGTCACTGGGGCAAGGCTGAAATTTAATGCACGACTTTACTCCTTACACCTGGAAGGGAGTGATGTGGATTGGAGTGACTGTTTTGCCAACTGGAAACAAGTGAAAAGACACTCCTTACACACACTTTCGAAGCCGAGAAATTCCAAAACAAAATGTACACTTGCTCACCCAGAAAAAAACACATTACAAACGGTCACAAACATGTGTCTCTACAAATGCTGTTGCTGCTGACGCGGCATCGGAAGTTCAGGATGCGTGAAGGAACAGCTCAGCAAGGATTTTTGCTCCTCCCTCAAGTCACCGGCCTGACGTGGACGCAGAAAGTCACACCATGCTGTGTTGGAAATTTTATGTCGTGGTGGTCAGTCCTCCGATAACTGGATGAGGAGAGTAATCTCTAACAATTGCTCCATTACAGGTTCTCTAACATAAACTGTTCGCTAACAATTGCTAACGTAGGATCTCTCCCACGTCTTCTTTCGTGATCCACGAAGTCTTCAACGATACCTTCTCTTCGCTTCTACACTCGTAATCTCCCTTATATTTTAGCCAATCGTGGCCTCCAGTAATATCTCACTTTAGCGACGATTTCACATATCTTGTATGGCTGCAAGGGCCGCGTCCCAAGCCCTGCGTTCGGTCGATCGTCGTCATCTAGGTCTCTCTCTTTCGGTGGGACGTGCTTAATTTCCCTCTCTTGAAGGGCTAGCCAATCTGCCCATTGGCGCGTCTGTCGAAGTGAGAGGCCCCGCTCTCGCTTGAGCTCAGGCGTTCTCTGCGGCTACATGGAAATTTCGACGAAGTGGTCGTCGAATTGGCTCTTGGATTTATACGACAGATATCGTCGACGAACCCGTCCTCTGATCGACGGGTGGTTTTCAACGAGGCCGTCCTGTGATCGGCTAGCCCGTCGACGAGCTCTGATCGACAGGGTCTTGTTCAGCGAGCCTCGTCTCTGCGAACTGGTCGGTCGAATTCGCTCGACTGCAAAACTCTGTAGAGGTGTGCAAATTTTGTCCATGAGGTTTTGGCGAAGTCGACATCCAGAACGGCATCACGTGCTCGACGGTGGACATGCAAAGTTTGCCCTGCAAAATGCTTGCTAAGGGTTGCATGCCATTCTTGCTATATCGATTTGCATGCCTCATTTTGTAATGTAATGTTCAATGTTCTTTTCGATCTCCTTAATGAAACTCTTGCGAAACTTCTCTGTGAACAAAGCAAGTAGTAAGAACGCTAGTGCAGCGCTACGATCATTCGCACAACCCCGTGCCCTCCTCCGTAGTCCACGCTCGTTGTGTAGTGACTCTTCGAATGGTGCGATGAGCGTGGACGGCCCCGCGTTAGAACCTTTATATTAGACGACTTTGCCCCATACCAAAGTTGTTGTTAGGCCGGCAGCCGTCTTAGTCGCCATGGTCGACCCCGTAGTCAAAGCAGGCGTAGAAGATACCCTGCAGGCGAGAGAGGCTGATGTTCGGCGGCGCCACGCAGCTGGCGAGTACGGTGGTGCCGACTTGGAGATGATGCTCCTAGGAACTCGTGCACGGTGAGCGCGCGAGCATCCCCCTCCCCATGCAGAAGCGGACGGTGCATCCGCCTCTCCACAACTCGTGCACAAGGAAGGCGACAGCGGCAACGTTGTCAGCGAAGGAGGCACGATGATGCCTCATGGAGTGATTTGAGCCGCCGACATCAGCGTCGACGGAGTGCAGGCGCGAGTTCAGCGTTTGGCGGCAGCAGGGAGCTCGAGTGACAACATTGAAGGTCGACGTCGTTCTCCCCAGCAGAGTGGAGTCAGACCGACTTCGGCGACTCGCGTGTCGGCTGGTCGGGATGGAGGCATCGCGCCTGCGTACGGCTATTTCAAAACTTCGACGGATAAGATCGTTGTGCCGAAGCCGCTCGAAGGTCGAAACGATTTGATCACGTGGACGGAGTCCATCGAACCTCGGCTGGAGATCGCCGGATTGAAGAAGTTCGTTGATGGAGATGTGTTGGCGCCGTACGAGGAGGATGTCGAGCTTTGGTCGAAATTTCGCGCTTCTCACCTTCTGACCTTCATGATCATTTTGAGGTGATGCTCGCCGCTGGTGCAAGTCGCATTGAAGCCGTGCAGACTTTGGGTGGATCCTTGCTACCAAGCGTGGCAGTACATCATGCGCACTTACAAGGCGACCGACAACCTCTACATCGGCCAACTAGAGCAGAGGCTGACGATCATCAAGATGGGCGAGCAGGAGTCGGCGACCGAGTACTGCAATCGTGCTCGGCAAATTTTGGCCGAACTGCGGATGGCTGGTGTCGACTACTCTACAGCGTCCTACATTATGCACGTCATCAAGGGTCTGCCAACGGGCTACAATTTGATGCGCCGAAAGCTGGCGATGCCTGGCGCGCGTGAGTCGCTCAACGAGGACACGCTGTCGAGCCAGATCATCAACGACGAGTTCATGCAGGAGTCCGAGAGGCCCGCAGAACTGCTTCCGCATGCCAACTATGTCGCCCCACCGAAGAAGGGACGCAAAAAGGGGCAGCGAGGGACATCTGGCGGAGGCGGTGGCGGGAAGCCGTCAAACACGAAGTCGTTGGAGGGCGCTGACCACAAAACGTTGGCGAAAGGAGGAGACCACTGCAGCAATGACTCGCTTCGAGAAGGGCGTCGCTGCTACATCTGCGATGCTCCCGACCACATCTCGTACAACTGCCACGACCAAGATGAGTCTGACGACAACCGGGACGCCAACCGCAGAAAGTCGAATGGTGGCCGTCGTCGTCGAGACAACCAGCCGCGCAAAGAGAAGCATGAGTCGAAGACGTCGTCGGCGAAGGACGCCGACTCTTCCAGCGGCAATGCACGTGGCGAGAATGAGGCTTCGTGCTCGATGGTCGACTTGGTAGAGCCGACGATCTTGCTGGCGCTGGAGGCTGGCAAGGACTTCAAGGCCGTCGCCGCCGCGGTGCAGGCGAACTCAACGGTGGTGCTGCTCGACAATGGCTGCTCCCATCACCTGATGGGGACGAAGGAGGAATTCGTCGACATGCAGCCGAGCGGCGACGTGCGCCACGTACGCAACTTCAAC